AAATAAAAGCCTTAGAGAGTAGGAAGTGCTTTGCCTTTAATACACGTTGAAATGCAGACATCCCAGATTTACTAAATGCCATTATTGCTTTCCTAAGACCAAACACATCACACATTTGACAGAAAGAGATGTAATTCCACAAAGCTGCCGTGCAAAACTAAAGAACAATTACCAACAAGAAATACAGACCAAGACTAGACAGCAGTAAAGTACACAGAAAATCTCTGTCTTTTGGAGGCCTAACAGGGGATTTCAAGGTAGTATATACAGAAGCAGTGATTTATGATTCCCATCCTTAATCTAGCCTACAGAAATGGTTCCATAATAAATACAGAAGCTGAAAACCACAGTTTGCATAACAGTCTGTTGTTAGGTTTTATCATTATAAATCTACATCTTTTCTTTGAAACATCCTGCAGCCCTGGAAAGAGATTTACAATTCAATCATTATTTTAAAGTGTGTTACTACTGCAGGAAATGAAGACTGCTTTTTAGGGGTTCCATCTGCTATCATGCCTAGCTGTGCCCAGACATCCAAACAGTGGACAGTGTATGTTCTTCTTAGAGAAATCAGCCACATTTTGTCTGTGCATCCCCAGAACTAACCCGTGTCTAGTAGTGAGCTGCTGATCAACAAATCTCCATGTAATGACATTTTTGAAGATGAGGCATATTAGTTACCTAGGGTTGCTATGAAAAAGGACCATACACTGGCTGCTTAAAGCAATGGAATTATTGTTTCACAGTTCTGGAAGCTGGAAGTCCAAACTCAAGTCATTGGTAGGCCTGTGCTCCCTCTGAAATCTATAGGGGAGGATCCTTCCTTGACTCTTTCTTAGCTCCAGTGACTATTGGCAATCTTTGAAGTCCCTTGGCTTGCAGCTTTTCCTTTAATTCCTGCCTGCATCTTCATATGTATGTCTGAATTTCTCTCATCATATAAGGACACCAATCATTGGATTAAGACTTGCCCTAATGACCTCATCTTAACTTGATTACATTTGCAAAGACCTTACTTCCAAATAAGGTCATATTCAAAGGTACTAGGATTAGGACTTCAACTTGTCTTTGGGGAGGACAAGATTCATCCCATGACAGAAAGGATTGTGTCCCACACTTCTGCTGTATCTCCTTTGCACAGAATAAGATGCTCAACACCTACTTGCTTCAAGGAAGTGTGCTGGCTAATTGCTGGTTTGTACCCTCTTATTACATTATCAATCTTTGTTCATGAAATGCAAAGAAAACAGTGTGTGTTGCCATGCTCTAACTATTCATCAAACCTGTCATTACCATTGGTACATTCAGGCACAGGGATAGCTGGAGCTCCTGCCTTGGCTTCCTAGGGGCCTAGTGTAGAGAGTATCATGATCTTCCCCAAAATAAAAACTGGGCTATAGTACAGCAAATCAACTTTGCACCATTTCTATGGCAAGAGGTAGTTTGTGAGATGTGCTTTGAATGCTGAACATTGAAATATCTGGTTAATTTTGTTCATTCAGAGATGGGAGAATAATATAAATTGTGGCATTTTCTTACAAATTTGGGATATGCTTTGTTTTAGGATTAAAGAATGTAAAGATTTCCATAAAATGTAAAGATCCATTTTAAAACAACTAAGAAGCATCTGGACTAGGCTAATTCACAGGCATACAAAAAAAGTCACAACTTGAAGGAAAAATTAGTGAATCTTCTCAGGCTTAAAAGGAATAGCTTAAGACATTTCAAACTCTTCTCAGTCTAGGAGCATAAGTTAAGTTTTAAGGGAGGCTTTTAAAAAATGTGGTTTCATTAAAATAGTATTCAGCAATCATTGGACAGATACAACATTTGACTTGGCAACTCTGTATTCCTGTGTGTTCCCAACATGGCTAATTCAATTGTACATATTAAAATATAATGAAATCAGATGTAGAAGTAAAAGAGAAATCTGAGGAAAGGTGAAATTGATGTATCATTAAACATTAGTCACCTACCCATTTTAGAATAAATTTAGAATAAATTACATTTATTCATGTAATTAATGTATGGAATACCCCATGTTCACAGACTGAACTATAGAGAAAAAGATGCCTAAAATGCCCACAGGAGAGGCAGCAGATTTTCAATGATGCATTAAAACTCCTTTCTCTGGACTCCTGGAGATTCACTGGAGAGAGGTTTGCAGGAGGTGGGAAGTGGAGGTTGTGGCCATTAAACTCAACAAAGTTAACTGATTCCAAAGACAATTCGTCCCATGACTGAGGCCTCTCGATTGCATGACCCTCAGAGGTGGGTCTAGCTCTGTGTATGCAAGTCCAGAGGATTTTTTGTGCCTGGCAATGAGTAAATGCTCAATTAGAGTTTGTATAACCTGAAATTGTTGGCAGCATAAGGCGGTCAACATGGAACATGTTTATACTGCCCTCCAAATCCCTGCTTGGAAGGACATGGATTTTGGAATCAGAAAAAAACATAATGAAAGATCCAAGGAAAGAGGCCATGGCATTGCTGTGACATTCCTGGGTAATTGATGAATAGCCCCTCCTTTAAAAGTTTTCGAGAGCTCTTAGACAAGTTGAAAAACTATGTCCACAGACTGAAGCTCATTCTCTCCCATTTTTCCCATTCCAGTGGCCCAGGAGAATGCAGAAAATTTTGTACCACGACTGAAATCAGAAGAGGGCTGACATCAATACTGTTTTTGGCCAGCCTGGCACATCTACTTCCTGTGTGTGGTAATAACACCTAAAGTTTTGCAGTCATGGGCATTTACTCTTTTAGGAAGATAGCCCAACATTCTCCCTGCCCTTGGTAATAATGCCTCAGTGTTCCTATAAGGAACTTCGTCTCCTTAAGATGAATGCCTGTTCCTTCTTTCCATGGGACTGAGGGGTTCCCAAGATGCAGGACTTTTAGAAGTAAAACCAGGTGGTTCCCAGACAATGGGAAGAATCGGCAACTCCATTTCCCCTGACCCTTCACTGTGAGAATGTCTATCAAATTGCCCCCTTCTTAGCTCCTGGCCCCGCCAGGGGAGGTAGCATGCAACCCAAACAAGTCCAATTAGAATCTCTCTCTTTTATAACTTGACTCTTGATTAGAAGATAGAATCAAGGATAAAATCATTTGAAACCCTGAGCCCTAGAGGGATTGTTCATTGCACCTCACTCCCAGGACCCCTTCGGTGCAGCTCTTCTTCTGAGGATGACCGTTCAGCGACCTGATTCTTCAGTAAAGTTTTCCCTTTCCTTGAATGAGCCAGATGGGAGGGTATCACCTGACTCAGAATACTCCAGAGACTGGTGCCTGTAACTGAGGAGGGGTGAGTGGCAGGGTCTGACTGTGGGGTCAGCAGAAGCAAGGTGACTATAGAAAGCAAATTTCTTTTATTGCCCACTTATCCTAAGGACAGAGAAATAGGACCTGTGGTAGCATTTTGTTAAATTGTTTTTTTGTGTGTGTCTTGGAACACACACCAAGGGCCAATGGTGGTTAAACTGTCAAGGACTTGGTAGAAAAATGTTAAGGTGTCGAAAATAATTAAGTAATGAAGAAAAACACAGCTTTGCCAAGACAGGAGCTTTCTCCCAAGGGGCCAGCAATCTAGGATGACACTGAGCCCACAGTATTTAATGATGGAAAAGCCCAGCTCCCACCTGTAAACTAAAGCTGGTGCTAATAGAGGTAGAGGGACAACAAATACAGCTGAAGAGGACGAGGGCCCAGACTAGTGCCAGTGACAAACAGGGAGCTGCACACAGCCTCCCCCAGGATTCTGTCTCCAGGCAAAATGCAGGCTCGGTGTTGTTTCAAATTACCCCAAGGCAGCATGCAATGTACACACGGAATTTTGGAGCTAGGTACACATTCGGGTCATGCTCCTAAAGGCAGAATGTCCCAGACCTGACTTGGATCCAGGGACAATATTCAGGCATTGGTCCCTAATCAGCTGGGTTGACCAAATGCAAGCATCAGCAAGCTGACCCCACCTTCACAGAAGCTGTGTTCTCAGACACCTGGGCTCCACTGCAAACACCTATTTGGTAAAAATACAACTATATTCAACAGGTATTGCAATTCCTATTTTACAGGTCAGCACCTGAGGCCCTGATACTGATAAGCAAGAAGCTATGGAAACTGGCTGAAACTAGATCAAACCAATACGGCACCCAATTTGACCAAGAATAGACCTCAAGCTTCATTAAATCTTATTTACATAGTAAAAAGCACACCCATCAGCACCATGACAGTTTACAATTGTCATAACAAGCTCAGAAGAGACATCATAAGGAAAAGCTCACCCTCTTGTAAGGTATCTCCCCAGAGAAATCATGACTATTCCGCTCCCTGCTCACATGCTCATGTACTTCCAACAAAAGAGCAAACAGCCCACAAGGAAGGGGCCTCTCTGCCTGTGGAGTTGTCTGCTTCACTTTGCTGTCTAATTTATACCTTTAACAAATATGCCTCATGCTGTGCCTGACCCATGGTTGGTTTCTGTCCTGCCACTGCAGTAAAGGCCCAAAGACTAGGGCCTCCCTCTTTCTCCCACAACAGCTCTGTGATTCTCTTAGATTATTGGTGGGTTACCTCTATGCTGGAGGGACTGCTGTTTGCCTTTCTCATTCATAACAACAGCATGCAACTATTTCTAATATAAAATAATAACAAAAGGTACAAAACTCCAGTTATAAATTAATAAGTCATGGATGTATAATAATATACATCATGGTGACTATAGTTAACAACACCATATCATATATTGAAAGTTGTTAAGAGAGAGAATTTTAAAAGTTCTCATCAACAAGGAAAAAATTGTAGCTATGTAAGGTGACAGATGTTAATTAGGTTTCTTGAGGTGATCATTTCACATACATATATTGGATCATTATGGTGTACACCGCAAATGTTGTGGAGGAAAATTTCCTGCACCCTTCAAGGTTCTTCTAACTGGTTTAAGAATCAAATTGACATGGTACAGATTAACAGGAATAAAAAGTCAAAGTTGAATTACATACCTACGAGGAAGCCCTAGGCATGGGTTCCAAAGACAGTCAGGGAGAATGAGGTCTGTACGCCATCCCATCCAAGGAGAGGGTGTAGGGGCTGAGACTTCAAAGGAAAAGGGAAGAAATTCATAGGATTATAAAAAGAGTAAATTTTTGATATAAACAAATGTTGGTGGGCCACCCAGAAACAGTGGGGGGAGGGTGGACACAGAGAAATTTTAACAGACTTAGCCACATCCCTCCCTGTCTGTCACTGGCAGTTTACATTGTAAATAGCTGTCTGTGGGGACAGCTCTCCCCCAGAGAAGTTCCTCCATCTAAATTCTTTTTATATGTTCACATATATATATAAAATCATCAATCCAAGAATTCCCTAGACAGGAATTACAATAAGGACATTGTAATACTACTTTTCCTGATTGGCGCTGCTCCAGCCACCTTTTCTGCCCCTTCCCAGGGTGACCTAGGCAAGATGGTGTGACTGGAAGTGATTTTCTTATAAGCTTTTCCCAATTGAAATAGTAATTTTATCCCAGGCTCTTTGAGATTCTAGAGAGGTTTTGTGTGTGTGTGTGTGTGTTATTTCAGTGATAAGACTCAGATAGCAATCAATCACTAAACAATGTAAGCCAATTATAAAATAATACAAGATAACCCACTGCTAAATTTTATGGGTGAGAGCAAAAAAGTCAAAGGATTTTAGAATAATAAAGAACTGATGTCTGAAGAACATTTGCCAGGCAGCACAAATCAGGCAAAGCCATGAATTTCATTAGTATAGAGTCTAGAAGATTTGTAAATGCATTTCAAATGCACAGATTGCTGGCACACCCCAGAATTTCAATACTAGAGAGAAAATGGGAAGATTTATTTATTTATATCACAGGAAAGCCTGAGCTAGTAGGTTTTGGGTTCGGCTGGTGGGTCTTGGGCTCTAAGTGGCTACTGTTTTCTTTCAGTACAAAAACTGCTCTGCTTGTGTGTAGGAAGATGGGAGAAAAATCTATCCAAGTGTCTGGCTCATTATGTAATGGGGGTGGGGACATTCCGTCTGAGTGGGATTCATCCTCCAATCCTTACACCTTGATCTTCAAGAGGATTCAACCAGATCTGTTACCATCATTTTATAAAACATGAAAAACACCCTAAGAACTACCAACTACATTGTGCACACTGAATTTCACCAGACATTTAAGGCTGATACTGTTAGAGTAGGCAGTTAGTAAAACAGGAGTGGCAGAAAGTAAGGGAGAGGTGGAAGCTGGTAACTTCTCTTTGTCTAAAACAGTAAGTAAGAGCCGGTAAGTCCCCTAATATAGCTCCAAGAGGAGGGGTTTCCCTGCCTGGGGTAAGTTCTTTATGATTCAAACAGATGAAAGAAAGGCAAGGGAAAAAAGTTGGGGGGTAAGGGGGGCTACCACATTTATTCTCACCGAAGTCCCAAGCAGCTCGGTATGGGTAGATGGCTCCAATGCGCTCCCCACACCAGCCACAGGCTCTGCTCCCTGGCGTGAGATCATTCCTCAGGGCAGTAGGTCTCAGCCTCTCCTCCCTTCCTGCCCTCCAGGCTCCCTGCTCCCACACTCAGGCTGAATTCTCAAGGAGCGCCGGGGCTCCATGGCAATCTCTCTGCTCTCCTGGTGAAGGCCCCGTTCTCCCCATGGTTCCCTCAGCTCTCTCCCCTGCCGCCATCACCTTCCCTGCCCCTTGCACAGGGAGGGCAGCTCCCTGGTGACCAGTGGACGCCTGACATACCAGGAATGGAGGAAGCGAGAGAATGAGCATTTCCTCTCCACCCCCTCCCTGGACTGGCAGTCCTGTGCCTGACTAGCTGCTCTGTCCCTGGTAAACATCCTATACGATAGATGCTATTAAGGCCAGTGGGAATCCTGGTCAGAAAGTTCCATTTTCCCCATATTAAGGCTGATGCCTGCATAAACGACACTGAGACATGTCCAAGAATGACGCTGACCCTGGTCCACTCACATGATCATTAGAATTCCACCACCACAGCCCCTCCCTGGGGTTTTTGGTCTGCATTATGAACATGAGTATGCACAGAGCCAGAGCAGTGATATGGTCTGAATCTAAAACCAGTAAGTATTCAGATAGGCATGGCTGGCCTGACCTCTCAGGCAGTCCACTCTCTTCCAGAGTGAATGTTCTCCTTGCTAAATAAAACTATCTTCTAGCCTTCACCTCTTCTTTGTATTCGTCGTTTGTGTGCACTGAAGAAGGAGTGAGAAGGACCCCTCCCTTTAACAATAGCAATCCGTTTAGTCTAGGAAAGAGGCCATGACAGTGCCCTATAAGACTGCCCAGTTAGGAAAACGAGGACCTGGATTCAATCCCATCTCTGCCACTGGATAAGGCAGACCTGCCTTCTCTCAGGGCTGACCTATAAAATGGGAATTACAATACCTGTTGAATATAGTTGTATTTTTATCAAATAGTTGTATTATACTCAAATAGCTGTGCTATTATGCAAATGCAAAAACTGAAGCTCAGAGGAATTAATGGATTTGCAGGACGCCCTAGACCCAGATCAGACCTGGGGCCAGAGTCAGGGCTGTTCCCTCACCAGCTATGATGAGATCAGCAGAGATGCTGGCCCCTAGCCAGGTGTCCACCGATGTTGGACAGTGAAGCCAATGGGAATTTAGCACAATGTTAGGAGAGTATGAAGTTTCTAGAACACTTATTTGACTAAAACATAAAATAAAATGTGTAGATCTATGCTGAGAACTGCTCTTTGCTAGGTGAGGGAATAAAATTCTAAAGTATTTATAGTTATGAGCAGGCTTTAATGCCATTCAGGCTTCTGTGGCTGGTTTCTCTTTACTCTTGCACGTTTGATCTTTGTTCAAGAGTTTTACTTGCTTTCCAATGGCTGTAGCAAATTTATTGAAATGTTTGAGCTAAAAATTTCTTTGAAGAAGACCATTTATGTCTGAAAAAAGAGACTCAGGAACATACTGTATAACCCTGGTAACCTATTGCAAGAATCCTGCCAACCAAAATTCTCAAAACCCAGCAAACAGAAATTGTTCTCTTGGACTGAGCCCCCTGCAGATCTCCTAGAAAGCACCAGTTTTTCCCAGGGGTGGTGTTTCGGGAGTGGCCAGTGCTGACCCTCCAACGATCTGTTTGGGGAGTGCTGGGGAAGAAGAAATTTTCTCCATCCCTTGAGGTTCTTCTAGCTGGTCTAGGAAACAAATTGACATGAGATAGATTAACAGGAGCACAAATCAAAGTTTAATTACATAGCTATGAAGAAGTCATAGACATGGATTCCAAAGACAGTTGGGGAGAATGAGGTATATATCTCTAACTCCAGTGGGAAAATTCTGGGGCAAAATACCTTTGAAACTGAAATCAGCCGAAGGGAGAAATGAAGTCAGAGAAAACTATTTATTTCTTACAAGTAGTCAACCAGTGTCTCTCCAAAACTGGCTGCAGAAGAAGAGAACTCTACCGAACCTCTCTGGTCCAGATGAGGACTTGCTTGTCCAGGTAATTACCTATTGATATGCAGATGGACTACTTCTCTCCACCTGTTGGAAACATCTATTAATACAGAGATGCACTAAAGCCAGGCGAGAGATTCTGGAAATATTGCAATTTTACCCACAGCCCACCCCTCCGGAAATCTCACCTCACAAGCTACATGTTCCCCATCTTCTGCAATGGCCCCTGTATGAGAAAACTGGAACACTGTAACCAGACTAATAACATAAAATCATGATAACCCTCAAGCCAGAGGATTCAGCTAGGTTCAATGTCCTATGCAGATTAAGTCCATAGCTCGCCCATTCAACAGGCAGTCAGTAGCTGAACAGGTCAGGAGTTCAGAGCAATCATCATGTGGCAGCTGCAGCCAGGGGGCACATCGGGCCGCAGGGACTGTTGATGAAAATAACCTTAAGGGCGATCACGTACATATTTTAATGACACCAGCATAGGCAAATCTTGTCTATCAGGTAGAATGCATGCAAAAGAGTGGTCCTGTGATAGGACAGTGGCAGGAATGGGAACTTGTCCTGGTCTAGTATACCAGAATGTCACCCTCCTCCCTGTGGGAGTTACTCATGGTCAAAATATAGGGCTACAGGAGGTACATACACTGGCCATAAAGATAAAACAAAACTTCCCTGTAAGATGCTCTTACCTCCTGGACATTTTGGGTATACTACCATGATCTTTGGGAGCCACTCTGTTGTTACTTCAGGAATACATAGGAGGCCAGCTTCTAGGCCTTTTCCCCAAGGTGCCAAAAGGGCCAGCCATTGCTGGTCCATGTGTCAAAATGTCCAGGGCCACATACACTCAACAGTGTCTCCAGGGTTGAATGTAGTTGGGGCTGGCAGCAGGATGTTGCTCTGCTGGTCATACCATGGCTTCAATAACTCCTCTTTGGTTTGCACAAACAGTTGTATAGGAGAGGCAGCAATGTATGTTAGCATATCCACAGGGCTCCAGGCTCCTTTAAGGGGCTTCTCAAATGCCGTACCACTGTCCATAAGTGAACTGCCATAGACTATTGGTGTCTGACTTAAGGCTAAATTTCAATAAACCATGTACCTTTCTATCATGCTGGCCTCAGTAGGGTTATATGATACATGAAACTTCCACTTCATTCCTAATTGCTGCACCCATTCTTGTAATGCATGTACAGTAAATTGGGTGCTTTGATTGCTGTCAATCACCTGTGGCTGGTCATAGACTACAAAGAGATGCTCTAGGCCTCCTCTTGGTGGTTTGCTGATCTGCACAAAATGCAGAAGCAACCAACAGGCCAGCAGCTGTATCCACACAAGTCATGGCATACCAATATCCTTCTGATATGGGCAGAGGCCCAATATAGTGTATCTGCCACCTGACAAGGGGTACTGGCCCCTTTACTATTGTCCCATGTTGCTATGGGGACTTGGTGTAAGTTCCTGTCAGAGCACACAAGGCGCTCCTTCTGGGCTCTGCTGACTTCTTCAAAGGTCAGTGGCAAGCCCCACTGATGGGCCACAGCTCACATGTTCTTTTGCCCCACATGCAACAAACACTAATGTAACCATAGGGCTACATCAGAGGCAGACTTTCCTTCTAGCCAATGCATCTGGGCCAATGTGCCTGCATCATCATTTCCTGGGGATGCCAAAGGCAAATGGCCAGTCACATGACATACAGTAACAGTATTTGTCTGACTAGAGGCCCATAGGTCTTGCCACAACTCTTGGCCCCAAAAGGGCTGGTGACCAACCAGGGCTCCTGGGTGATCACGAGCCATACTGCCTGCAACTCAGCCCATTGGCTGCTCTTCCCCTCTCCATCTTCCATCCATATTGTCTCAGTCTTAGGGTGGAAAGCCACAACACTACACTTTGGGGGTTGCCCGTGACTGGAGCTATCTGTACACCAAGACTCTTAAGATATAGGGGCCTTTCCCTCCTGATAAGGACTCTTGGCTACCAATGGCTCAAAAGCAAGTTCTTCCTGCTTTCCACTGGTATATGTCAGTGGCCCCAGTAAGTGTTGGAATTCTCCACTTAAGGGACTAGTAGAGAGGGTACTATGCTTCTGTAAATATGTACCCCATTTGCCAGTGTAGGCATCTGTGTCACACCACTCTATAGTTTTTGGGTCCAGTCTCGTACCCACCCTGCGATGGGATAGGTGGTTATTATCTTGATTGGAGCTGTTCCTGTGTTGGGCTTCATATCCAGCAAAGTGTGTTACACAGCAGACAGTTGCTTCTCTATCAAAGGTGTACTGGACCTCTGATCATTTCCATAGTTGTGATCCAGTAGGTTGGTGTGTCCATTCCATCCACTGCCAAAGACCCCATCCATAACCACCTTCGGTTACATGAACATCTAGCTCACAGTACCTTGATGAGTCCATTATACTCAAGGCCTGTACTACTTGCTTAGCAGCAGTAAAAGCACATGCAGATGTTTCATCAGACCCACCTAATGCCCTTTTGTACCAACTGGTATAAGGGTTTCAGAATTTGCGCAAAGTGCGGGATAAACACTCTTCAGTAGCCCAAAAGACCCCCAAACTCTTGTAATACTGCCACAGTGGTAGGGATGGGGAAAGCCTGGACCTTGTCTATGACCGTTTCAGGTATAACTTTAGTTTTACCCAACCAGACAACCCCCAAGAATTTTACAGACAAACCAGGTCCCTGAACCTTGGTGCCATTCACAGCCCATCCTTTCTCCTGTAGATGTTGCAGCAGTCTAGGAACTGCCCCTTCTAAACTGCAAGAATATCAGATGTGAGCATAATATCGTCAATGTAGTGATACAGCTTCTCTGTTTGTGATTTCTTCTGTGTGGCCAAGTCCTGGGCTATAAGTCTGTGACAAATGGTGGGACTGTGGAGGTATCCCTGTGAAGGACAGTGAATGTCCACTGCCGACCTTTCCACATGAAGGCAAACTGTTCCTGACTTTCCTGTGCTATGTCAATAGAGAAGAAAGCATCATCAAGGACCACAACATAATGATACCCCCGTGGTTCATGACTGAGGGTGTCCATAAGGGCTGCTATAGAGGGGACAGCAGCATGCAAAGGGGGTGTGACTTTACTCAATTCCCTGTAGTCAACAGTCATATACCATGAGCTATCTGGCTTTTTTAATGGCCAGACTGGGGAATTAAAAGGACTATGAGTGGGCTTTATGATACCCACCTTCTCCA